ATGATGGGCTAACTTCTGGCCAATGTGGGTATCAATGCTCTTTTTGACAGCATACTCTTTCCAATCATTTATCAAGTAGTCTTTAGCAAAAAGTGGTCTTTTATCCTTTTTTGCCCTTAGTATGATTGGTATTTGCCAGCTTTTCTGCTTGTGAATCATATTTGCGAAATTTAAGAAAATTGTATGAAATACGGTCGCCTCAGAATGTCGTTTTTTTATGAATCCCTTTTCGACTAACTATCAGGTTTTCAGTTGAAACAGGTAAAAGTGCGGATTTAACATAGACTAATCCACTTTCTTCTTCTGACTCGATCTACTGCTACTCTTCCTTTTCGATCCATCTGCCAAAGTGTCTGCATCAGCCTGCCTTATATCGTGGTGCTTCAGGTCGCTCAATCGAAAGGCGGCCATGCTGGATGCTGAAAAGCTTACTCGACTAGCATGTCGGGCCTTAAAGAGCACTGGCTGCAACACAGCCAATGAACGACGCCGGCCTTCATGCCAGCTAGGACGCAAGCATGGGGCTATGGCATCATCTTCATCATCATCATCATCAAAGTTGAGCTCGAATTCAGCGTGCAAGTACCTCAACGCATCATCATCACCGGAAACTGTTTCACTCATAAAAGCGTCTTGCACATAACCAGCCAGCTTCGCTAGGTCGGAGTCTGCAAGGACGGGTCTACGGGATTCATCAGAAGCATTTTTTTGGCTATGAGATACTCCGTATCTAGACACCTTTACATCTCGAGGTTTCGTACACTTTTCACTATTTAGGTAGGCATCCGGTGAAGAGATTTCTTTAGTAGATTGGATTTTATTTAAGTCAGGATATGTGTTGACAGGGCGCGCTAATCTACCCAATTTCGAACATCTTCAAAGCGATCTATAGAGGATATCATTCTCCTCACTCTTGACTGCAAGGGCGCCCTTGTGATGTCGCCTCATCAGCTTCTGCGAATTCTCGGCGGCCATCGTAGAAACCAGTCTTTCAGATGGTGAAGTGAATGGATGAAATGTTTCATTTCTTCTATCTGAATCATTGACGCCGTATTTACCACTCGTTCTATTGAATACCAAAGGAGCTTCGAAGTCAAGATGGCTGATTCATTGAGTTCATTTTTCTGCCATTAGTAGTCAAACATAGAATAGATAGCCATAAAAATTCATTTTTAATTTCTGCATAGCTATAAAGGATTATTCAAGAAAACAAACATACCTAAGACTCAACCTGGGGAATTAATGGCTGAGCACCTCAAGGAGGTCCATTTTATATCCGAAAAATTGT